CAACATTGGGAATGAGGAAAATATGTGTGTGGAAAGAAACAGGAAACAATAAAACAGGAAAAAGCAGGAAACAATAAAAAAAAAACTGAATCTCATTGCTCAGATCCTATCACTGCCCAAGGGAATATATAAAATCTCAATAGTTTTATTGCTGCAAGTTAAAAAAATATACACATATACATATATACATGCATATATATTTTTACATTGCAGGAATACATATACAATATATAATATATATATTTTAGATACATGCACACATACAGAGAGAGAAACAATTATACATCAAACACTCAGAATCACAGAAGCATCAGTCCCACCATATATTTAGTTTAACTGTAGTAGGGAAGATTAAGCCACATCAATCTATCTTATTTTATTAAAATACTTAATTACTTGTGGTTGGCAGGAAAGACATGCAGATGTTCACACCAATAAAAGAGACTAGGATACAGAAAACAGAATAGAAAGTAAAAATATAAGAAAGAATACCAATGAAGAGAGTAAGCAAATCCAAAGCAAAGTCACCTGAAACAAGGGCAGAGATGACTTTTAAATGTCCTTCACTTAGAAAGGCATTCAAGCCAGTCTCCATTTATGTTGAGTCGGTGGGTTTAAAATTTTGAAATTTTGAAAACATAAAAAGTATGGAAAGACTATCTCTGAATAATTGAAACTCATGCACGACTTACTACTATACCATCTTTGTGAACGAAAGTTATATTATGGTAACTTAGTTCATGGGTTACCTATTTTATCGGAGCGGTAGGATATATAGGTTTTTGGGTAAAATATTCTGTTTTAAACTTGGGGTCAAATTTTATTTTGTTTTATTTTATTTTATTTTTTAAGATTTTATTTATTTATTTGACAGACAGAAATCACAAGTAGACAGAGAGGCAGGCAGAGAGAGAGGAAGGGAAGCAGGCTTCCTGCCGAGGAGAGAGCCCAATGTAGGGCTCAATCCCAGGACCCCGGGATCCTGACCTGAGCCAAAGACAGAGGCTTTAACCCGCTGAGCCACCCAGGCACCCCGATGGGGTCAAATTTTAAAACAAAGTTCCACTCTCAAGACAAAATCAACAGATCCTTTAATACTCAGATGGGGACTCTGGATGACCACATTACCAACTTGCAAATATTTATTCCTACCTCATTTTTCTGTGATGGCCAAATTACTAAGTCAATATAGTTACAGCTGTTCATATGCTTCATTCCAATAAATTCAACTTTTTTGGTTGAGATAGGAATTGGTTTTCACTCTTTTCAACTATGTTACTACTAAGTCTACATTTCTAAATTCTGACCTATTTATTTCTCATGCTGAAGAAGTTAAAAAGAATTCAGAAAGCCGTGGGAAATAACAGAAGTCATGGTTAGGTCCCATCGAGCCTCTGCCAACATGTTAGAGGAGAGACAGTCTGACAAAAGCATCCAACGTCATCCAACTTTGATGGGAACTTTCTACAAACAAATCTCAAGGTACTGCTTGTTTTAGACTTAGAAATAAATGCTTGTATAGAAATAGTGTCAGTGCCATCATCCACTCAATTTCTGGTTACCTACACCAAGAGAACAGAGCTTCTACTAAATGAGAAGACAAATGAGTTCTTGCGCAAGCCAAGAAGGGTCTACGTCCTTCTTTCACTTGCTTTTTCTCCTGTTCGGTAAACACCAACTGAGTCTCTTCCATGTGTCAGGAATAGTTCTGACAGTGACCACAAATGCTGTGGTCCATACTGCCATCGAGTTTCCTCTGGTTGGAGAAATTATTATATACCCCTTTATATTATAAAGGGGTATGAATTATACCCCTTTAATTTATTTGATGAAAATTACGATGAACACAAAAGAAAAGCTTGGGATGGTGTGGAGGTGATCTGTTCTTTGAGGGTGAGGAAGACTTCCTTAAGGAAGTCAGACTCTTGAGCTGAACTGAGTGGGACAGGAGAGTGTTCTAGAAAGAAGAAACACAGAAAAATGACAGTGCCTTCAGGAAGCAGAACTGCTGTTTTATAAGAGACATACAGAGTAAATGCAGGAGTAATGGGTCTTAGAGAAACTGGCTTTTACTGTTAAGCTCCAGGCCTCCTCTGGAAGGGGGTGAGGGAGGATAAGTTGGAAGGAATTTAAGCAAATACTTATTTTTTAATGTTATTTCTTTAGTTTACTTGTATGTTTTAGGACAATGTAATGTCACATTTTGCCCATTTTAAAAATAAAAAAAAGTGATATATTCTACTATTCGTCTTTGAGGGTGAGAGGTCATTATAGTTCTAGACAGGAGTGAGTGAAGGATTCAGATGAAAATTTCCTTGTTACTTAGCGTTAGACAGCATTAATCATTAGCAAAAGCCAACAAGTATTTCATGGCCATTTTATTTTAAATATTTTTTCCTCACTTCTTTTCTTTTGCTTTTAATTAATTTATGAGTGATTAATCAATTTTTCACTTAGATATGGAAATGAACTCTATTCACAGATCATGCTCACTACAAACAGATCGATCCCTTGGCCATCCCACTTTGCATCTGGACTCGTTCACATCGACTCTTCTGGAAAGCTTGATTTAGGACCAAACACGTAAAGCTGAGTTGAACGGAACTTCCTTTGTACTGAAATGCTAGCCTTTCTTCACCTTTCTTCACCATTTCAAACCATATGTATCATCAGTCATAAAAGTTATCAAGCATGCCACCGTATTCACCAACATGTCTAATATGCAGATCTCTTGGATGCCACATTGATATAATTCTAGCCTAACATCTACCCACCTCTCCACCGACCTTCATTTTCCTATACCCCTGTATAGTTCTGTCCCCTCATTACACTCTCCTGGCCATTTAATCACTTGCCATTGCAAATCTCTGTGATCAAGAGGCTAACTTGCTTTCTAATTCCAGATGGCAACCTTGAGGCATCTATTCACAAGCATTAATACGCTTATTAAAGATATATTTTATTTATTCATTTGAGAGAGAGTGAGAGCATAAACAGGGGTAGGGTCAAAGGGAGAGAGAGAAACAGACTCCCCACTGAGCCGGGAGCTCCATGTGGGGCTCAATCCCAGGACCCCAGGATCATGACCTGAGCTGAAGGCAGACCCTTAACCGACTGAGCCACCCAGCCACCCTTAATACCTTTTAAGCAATTAAAGGGTCTGACTCCGTCAGACTCTGATTTGGTATTCATAGCTGGCCTGATTATTTCTATTACAAACTTGTTTCCTCAGCATGTTTTTTCCACTGGATAAAGCATGGAACTAGGAACCAGAAGACCCAGGTGTAGGTCCCGGCTTCTCCATCTGGCTGAGGTGCAACTTTAGGAGGTCACCCAGGCCCTCTGGATCTCCACTTCCTCCTCTACGAAGGTGGAGGGAGCATACTGGTCTTTCTCCATCACTGGGCTGTATCAAGTGAGGGCCTTCCCTGACTCCAAAGGAGGACTCCAACATGTATATTCCCACAGCATCCCGCATTGCTTCTTTAAAATCCTCATTACTCTTGTGATTGCTAGTTTGATGCTGGTTTTTTCTCCACCCACCCCGAAGTACCCTTCAGTAAGTCCCCCGAGGGGAGGGGCTGTGCTTTTCTTGTTCAGGACTCTCTTAGCGTCGACATATATCAGCTGATGGATTACTGAGTAAGTGAAGGTGCATTTAGGCAAGAAGCTACAATTGCTGTCATTGTTATTACTGTCAGTAGCAATGACAATGCTAGAGGGAGTTGTAGAAGTTGACTATTAGCACTGTCACCATTCAGTATGCAACAGGCAGAGAGCCACACGATAATATTAGATATCATCAACATTCATTGTAAACTCTTCCTCTTCCCTCTCCTTTCTTTAAACTGATGGAAACTCACCACTTCATGATTAAAAGGCTGTCTAAATGTAGCCCCCAGTAATGGTTCAGAGTACAATATTTTGCTTCTCATGCATTAATCCTTGAAATGCACAATGAGCCCCCACCTAGAGAATGACCCCAGAGAAAGAAAAAAGGTGTGTTCCTACCCTGAAGCATGTAACAAAGCCTTTCCAAATTTGGGGGAGGGGCACAAAGAACTATAAAATCAGCCCCTTGTGAGAAGAGAATTTGTAACTGAAAACCAGAGTGAAGAAAATAAAATTCTCCAGGAGGAAGAGTCAGTTCTCAGTCCCTACAATGGCGTGGCTTGACCTTTCACCCTTAAAGAGTAGGGAAATGGACAGAGTGAAAATGCTGTGGGGGTGGTAGGGATGCTGCTTTTGGAAACGTGACATGGTTTTGAATAAGTATTATTGATATTTGGGGGCAGGGTAGGAGAACAAAGCAAGAGAAGGTGCCAGGCAGTCCACCAAAGCAAAGAAGGAGTTTATTGGGCTTTAAGTAGAGCCCAGGGCAGCCCAAAGAGTCCACAGGCCTGAAACCCGATGGTATATCCCCTGATCACTTCCCGGGACCTTGGGACCCATGTGCAATGCGAGAGTGTGTTGGCCGCAGGTACACCTGTTAAGGAAGCAGCTCTATTATGTCACATTGCTCAGATAGCTTGCACATGCCGAACAGACTACCTCTTAAAGGTACTCCTTCCCAGGTAATATATTCAAGGTAATATATACCTTGAATACCAGGTAAGGTATTCAAGTGAATTGCGATTGTGCCTGCCCTCCCTTAAATAATTCAGGCCTTTGTAGAAGAATACTTTCATAACATCCAATATGACAACAAAATTCTTCTCTGATTAGATACTGTTGGCACGCTATTATTATTTGTGTGCCTTCATTCACTTGAAATTGACCAAATCCCTGCTGCGTATCAAAAAAAAAAAATATATATATATATATATATATAAAAGGTAAGTCCTGGGAATGCAGAATGGAGTCAACTACTGTCCCTCACTCCAGGACCATGAACTCAGGCAGACCTACAGTTTGGAGAGCAGTGGACTTGGACTCCTTGTACAAAATAGAAGTCACAGACCTTTTTGCTGGGTGAATTTTAAAAACGGTATGTACGGCACCTGGAGGCAGGCTGGGGCACGTCCCTGGGGCTTGTTGACATCCACAGCTACCAGTTGCCAGCCACCAGCAGCGTCTTCATGAAACATCTTCAAGACAAAGAGGGAGATGAGTCAGAGGCACTTAATATGGAACATTGCGAACTCCTACTTTATGTCTCCAGCTTCTACAGTTTTCATGTTATCAAAGATTTGTCTTTTTATGGATTTATATTTAGAACATGAGTCACTCCAATTATGTTCATTGGAACACTGAAAACTTAAGTGAATAATAATCATAACAAGAACAATGGCCATCGCTAAACTGCATTTATTGAGTATTTCCCATGCATCAGGTCCTTTCTGCTTCACACGTGCTTTGCATATAATTGCCCAAATAGTCTTCTCAATGAGACTTGAAAGGAGATATTTTATCCCCATGATATTGGTGATTGATTATTACATATTAGACCTAGGGGGAAAATACAAATTAGAATTCCAAAGCTTTATGTCTGGTGTGTTTTTGATTGGGAGTGGTAAATTTTTATCTCTATTTAGTGGACATTCCTCACTGAGCCAACAGAAAAATATTCTCGGGAGAAATAGCAGAAGTGTGCATGTGGCACAGGGAAGGAGACTGGTTATTTTAATGGTGAAAGACTGACATATCACTTAGTAGACGCTGTGAAATTATTTTAACAGGGCCAAATTAATCTGCTCAGCAAAAATTTTATGTACTTATTTATGAAAACAAAAGTAGTTTCTTGTGTCTTAAAATACATAAGTGACGAAATTCAGAATGATACAGGACACCAAAATCTGATAGTCATTGAACTGGATAGCTAGATTGTTGGATGCCCATCTTACTGCATACTCTATTCCCTCCAAAATTAGTCGTCTATCAATATTACACCCAGCTGGAAGACAGTTCCCACTTATACATATTTTCCCTCTAGTATATTTTCTTTCCAATTCCTTTTGTGTGTGGAGGGGGAGGGGTGTGGTTGGTAGTGAGATAAGGTGGAATTAAGGATATTTATTTTTCCAAGGCACTAACTATAAGCTAGGTTTATTCCTGTCCAAGACCACAGTTTCACACACATAAGTAAATATTTTCTTTGCCATACTTATTCAAGCCCTGACATAAGTCTGTGTTCAAAAGGATAATTATTGATGGAAATATGAGATAATGCAAAGATCCCATGCCTAAGATTCCTGGGAGTAGAGGGAGTAGATCATTTGCAGAAAGAAAACTTGCCCTCTATGAAATAAGTGAGATGATGAGGGAAAACTGCCAAAATTCATAGACCTTAATATGTTTTTTTATTAGAAAACATTTTTTTAATGGTTAACCTGAAAATTCCCAACAATGCCAACCTACAAAGATCCATTCAGAAAAATGGTGTATCAGATATTCATGTGTCCTAGAATCAATACTTTTCAAAGACTGCACTGGGGGCTCTTTGCCAAGTGTGCCACTTATTTCACACTCCCCAACATATACAGAGAGCACCTACTATAGGACATGCTACAAAATACTGCTACACATACGCCCAATTTAATTATTCCATGAAGCATTATCCTGATTTATTTTTACATTATGCTGTGCTTACTGCAAGTGTAGCCACCGCCTGTCCATACATACCAACTAAATATTTTTAAATGACAAAATGGAGGTGCATATTTGCTCAAAGATTCTTTGACCCAAGACACCAATTAAAAATTGTTTTTCTCAGGTGCTAGGTACAGGATTCTGTTTCCCTTTAGGTTGAATTTTGAAAGGTGCTCTTAGTGGTAGGATCCAGCACCTCTCCATGAATAGGCTCATTCTGAGAATTCATACATAGGTTGAAATGCAAATCTTTTAAAGTTCCTGTCAGAATTCTGGGTGTCTCCTTTTAAGGAGCAAAGACAAAAGCAATCCTGTCAGTCACTAGCTAAAAATCTTCTGTACATGCATCTTCTACTCTCTTATCATGGCACAAAGGATCCCTGGGGTATATATTTGCTTTGATCAGTAGCAGACTCATTTTCTCTGTTAAATTATTTTTTTCCAGTTGACCCAAAATCAAATGAATCAATTTAATTGTTAGGAAAAGTGTTCTCTCAAGGTCACTTCTTTGTATAAAACGAAGTGAAGGCAATGCAGACATGTTTGATGCCCAATTTCTCCTCAGTCCCCTGAATTATAAGCCAACATTTAGATTGGTTAGTGTAACGGTAATGTGAGGTGGACAACAGGATATTCAAAGCCAGGAATCCTTGGGGTTCAGGTCCCGAGCAGCCAATTGTCCTCTCTATATCCCTCAATCTGACCTTAGTGGACCATAATTAGTATTATTAATATACAGTTCAATACATACTGATTTCCAGAACCTGCCTTAAGTCTCTTATCAGCACACACAACAGAAACATAGACTTTGTGGCCCTAAAGTCGAACAGTTCTTTTAGTCCTTCTCCAGGCAAGGTGAAATTAGCTCATCCCACCATGGATGAGTGTAGATGGGAAGGCCACATGACGGGTGACAGATGTCTGCAGGGAAGCATGTGAGGAGTGAGAATAAAGGTCTGGGCCTCCCAACATCCAGCTCGGGGGCGATATCCCTGCGCACGTGTGGCACGGGTAGTCCTACTGGGGACTGATGAATCACAGAAGAATGAGTCTCTTGGCCTTGAAACCAACAGCTAACTGAGCATGTGCAACAATGACCCATGGCTGATAATTATGCAGGTACGAAAGCCACCGTCCCCATCAGAGCTCAGGCAAACTAATGATTACTACTCTGAAATTTTCCACTTCATTTTCTCTTTGTTTTCCTGTTAAATGTTGTATTACAGTTCCCACCGGTCCTTTGGCATTAATTTTTTTTCTGCAATGTGTTTCGATGCTGTGGGCCGAAGGCAGGTTGCTTTGTTATTAAAAAACATTATAATATCAAAAAATGCCCAGTTCTCGGCACTGGTTCTCTTCTGCCTCCGAACAGTCCCTATGAGAGCCAATTCCTCTTAAACTGCCTGAGACATCAGAAGCCCGTCCCTTTATCCTGTTAATATGTGTAATTTTCTCTCCAAACACACAGCCCTCTTGGAAAAGTCAATGGACCCCAAGACACCAACAAGTCCACGAAGCCTGGGGACCCCCTTGGCTCTTCTGTGAGGCTGACTTAACGCAGCACAGCTGCAACCGCTCCACATGCTGAAGACTGGCGAGAAGCGTCGCCGTTTCTGAAAAGCTGTGTGTTCTGCAATACAATCACCATCTTTGTTTTATTTCCTCGAGGCCTACCTGTTTTACTACAATTAGAAACTACTGCCTTGGTGTTTTAAACTATTCAAGGAGAGGCTCTAGCGCGCAGCGGTCTGTCAGATGTCACAGATGTAAAACAGCATCTCAGGAAATGATGCTCCCCCTCCTTTCCTCAGACACAAAAGCCCCTGGGCCACTCGCCTAGTGGCTGGCGAGGCGCTGGGCGGGGCCTGTTGCCAGGCAGCCGGAGAGCGGGCCCACCGAGGCTGCGGCTGGAGCTCCGGTTGCCTAGCAACCGGGTCCTCAGCCACAGCATTTTTCTTAATGAAGGTGTTTCACGATTCTCGGTGTGATTACCTCTGCTGAATACCTAGACGCATTACCTCTGAATTACCTACTTATTCCTCCTGATTAAGTATAATTTTGCATCAAAACCATTTTGCACGTTTGCTGAATGTCCCCTTCACATTTCACTTTCTGTTAGAACTGCGGGCTGATTTGGTGGAGCGTCCAAACACTACTTTTCCAGCTGTGGCTTTATAAATAAGAGTTACTTAATAAGCATGATGTGGTTTTAAGCATATTTTAGGTCATCTCTCAGGAACACGGAATGTAAATTCTGTGCCGAGTTCATAGATCTATGCTCCATTCGGTTCTCAATCTGTATAAGCAGAAAACACACCTTCCAGAGGTTGTCACCTGGCTTAAAGGACATGCCAGAATGGACCTGGAACTTTATTATTTCTCACACTTCACTAGAGGGGATGACAGAAGAAATAAAAACTAGATGTGTTTTTTTTTTTTTTTTTTACAAATGTCATTTGTGGCATAACTTACATAACTTTAAAAAATCTTTCATGAAAGTTTGAATAGTTGCTTGCCAAAATTGAATAATATTAATACTATTTCATTCATTATGAGTTGACCAGACGATTTAAACACTTTCACAGCACCATAAAGATGCTGCGTAGAGCTTTTTCAAATATCAGCAAGGTTAATAGCATTTTTAGCATATAGTTAATAAAAGTTCAATTTGAAGGTTTTCAAAGTAAAATTTTTACCTTGGATCTTTCACAAATACCTTTGTCCACAGACCACTATTTAAAAGTCGTATTAAACTATTTACAAAGTTATATTAAATTTCTCTTAAACACGAATATTAAAATAATAGTCACAAGCATTAAAATCATTCCATTCTTGATTCAGGAATTTTTTCCTCTCTCTTTTATAAAGATTCAAACTACACTAAGATATATAAACCTTCCCTTCTTCTTTCTAAACACAAAAACAGAACCCTCCCCTCAAAATGCACACAAAACCAAACCAAAATTAAAAACAAAGACATTGGATCTGGACTGTCCTTCTATGTAATAACTGCCCTGTTACCTATAATTAAATTCTAGGGCACTCCCAGTTTCTTGGGAGCATAGGAGCGTCCTACTGAATATGTAGTGATACCTCAAAAATCACAAGTAGGCATTATGGGATCTTCTTCATAATTTGCCATGTTGGGACTGGTTCGTTCTGAATGAAATAAACTTTCCATTCCCCAAATAATTCTAATCCTATATGTACAGGCCATTATATTGGTTTTCAACTACATGAATAAATACTTATAAAAATGGGAAATTCTACAGTTTCCATTTTTATCTGCAAGCCTTCTGAAGACTTAAAATGGCCAAATCAAATTGAAAGTATATAGTAAATGTGGTGACAATCTTGGTTTTATATCAAATCCACCCTGTCACCCAGAAAAGCTGATCTGGTTGGTCTGGGCTTTTGCCCTTGCCCCAGCATTTTTGAATAGCTCCCTCCATGGGTGTGACCTAGAAGGTCTTTCTCAGGGGCTTTCCTAAGTTCCCTCAAGGCCCACTGAGGGTGAGACTGGATATGTCCATGTTCTAGTGGGAAAGGACATCAGCCCCCCAAAACAGTACCTGGGTGGTGGCTGTTGACGTCGTACTGCTCCTCGATCCCCACATCTGTTGAAACTGTACCCTGATCTCTGCAAATGTTTCGATGATGACAGCGATGAAAACATTCTGAAAGAAAGATCCCAAACCACGTTTACTAAAGACTGGGGATGAGGAAGTGGAGGGTAATAGAAAACAAACAAGAGATCTGCAGAAACGGCTGCAAAACACAGATTTTATTAGGACGAGTTTCGGTGGTACCTTCACAAGCCAGGCCAGGAAGAAGATGAGTGTGATGAAGTAGAAGTAGGACCGCCATCGCGGGAAGCTGTCAATGGCTCTGTACATGAGGAACACCCAGCCTTCCTGGGACGCAGCCTCGTAGACTGTGAATATGCTGGTGCCTGTCAGGACACACGAGAGCAGACTGAGTTACCGCGGGCTCTGGAAATGGGGCAACGTGGTTCAGAAAAACAATCAATATTTATCCAGGCTCATTTTCTCAATGACAAAGACTCTTTTAAAGGGACTGAAATCACATGCAACATTTGATTGAGCTTATTCTTAGAATTTTGATAAAGTTGTTTCTGACTTCAAGCCAGGGCAATTTCATGAGCAATAAAAGAACTTTATGTTCTATCTTTAGCCGTTCAATGCATCTAAGAGCTTGGAAAAGGAAACGAACATTCAAACCAAGTAAAGCTATAATAAAAAATAATGTGTACAGTATAAGCTTGCCACTTGGGACTTAACACTTTGAGTATGCTGAAAGTGCTTGTTATAGTTTTAGCCAAAATGAAATAAATTTGAAAACTGGGTTTCATTTGAAGTCACTTTCTCAGAGGGACACTAAAGTTCCTTAGGCTCTAAAAATTAATATGATGGAGCTTGTCTCGGATTCCATGGTGTTCACTGAATGCTGAAACGTAAGGCAGCAAATCACCAAATAGCACTTTGTCTGGAAGAACTATATCATTGGAAATGCTACTGCTAATGATGGAAAGAAAGAAAAGCAAAATAAATCAGACAGACTTTTGAAACAGTTCAGAGGAACCTAAAATGCCATTTGGGGGAAAGACAGTGTTCAATTCTCATAACATTATGAGGGATATGTTATTATTTCCCCACTTTATAGATGAGAAAACTAAAGCACATTAAGAATAACTAATTTATCTACGAATGCACAGATAATAATAGGGGAAGTAGAATTAACCCAGGCAATCTGGAAAGAGGCCCTGCATGTCTGTGATGACATCCTGCCTCCTGATCCCCTTTCTATGGTTTGTTTTCCCCTATCTGTAAAATGGGTAAATAATATCTCACAGGGTAGTGAAGACTAAATAATTTTATTTCTCTGAAGCCTTGACACATGGTGAGTACTAAATAAATTTTAAGTACTATTACTTTACAAAATTGTAAATAATTGCTTAATGTTATTTTGTGAAAAAACACATCAATAAAAAGTAGAGTGCTGAATTAAAGTTGTTTGTAAAACAAATACGATACACGTTGTTATTCACAAAACTATAAATATTTGCACCCCAATAGATTCCACGGCTATAAACAAGTTATTACAGGATATAAAACTAATATCTACCCATGTATGTTCTAATCACACAGAAATTTAAAACAAGAATATGCATGTAATCAGATGTCCAAACTAAGAAGGGGGTTACTGACGTTGGCTGGGGACCAGATTCCTCTCTAAGCCTGTACATAAAGGAAGAATAATTAAGCATCAATGAACCAAAGCGTGCAAGAAGAGGAGAAAAATCCTAGTGGTAACTGGGGACAAATGGGACAGAAGCAGCCTTGAAAGAAAAGCTGAGGAAGAAGGAAAGTGTATTCTCATTTAGTGAATGCCTATTATGCTAAGTACTGTATAGGAAACATAACTTCATAGAATCATGTTTTGTACATTGATAAGTTGTTGCCATAACAACTAGTATTTGTAAATCATATTTGGTTTCAAGGTTCTTTTATATATTTCAATGCTAAGGGAACCTCTAATGAGGCAGGTAGATGGGTAGGTGTGTATAAGAACAGGTATTATCCATCACATCCTTTTACAGAAAAGCAAAGTGAAGGTCACTAGTTAATGAATTTGCCTGGGGTAGAAAGTGCTAGAATGAGAAACTGAACCCACACCATCAGGTTCCAAATCTTAAACTCTTTTTTTTCTTTATCATCCTACTTTTCTTTTCTCTTGCTCGAGACTAGGACTTTCATGAGAGCATATTTTCTCCTATTATCCTTAGTTTGAATGAAGTCCATTTATTTTTCTTCCTGAGGGACTATGGTGGCTAAGGATATGGCAAACTGAGAAACTCACACAAGAAGATGGTTTTTAAGGAAAAATTCAGAGATGAGCAGCATGAACAAAAAAATAAAATGCCAACGGAAAACAGAAATCATTCTTTTCATTAACGATTCCTATGTACTAAAATGTCCAACATTTTGCTTTTGTGGACTGCATATGAAAAACAATTTTCACATAAAACAAGTAATTTATGTCCCTTATTTTCTTCTACTTATTTGAACCAAAAAAGAAATGTGTTTACAGAAATCCATTATGAACAACTATTAAAGCTTAATACTTTTACCAACTGAGCATTTACAGGTTAAATATGAGCATTGTCAATGTAAGGTTAAATTTGAGAGGAACACTGAATTAGCCTTTCAATATCTGTCCCGGTCCTCCTTTATTAAAACTACAAGGAAGATGCTATTTGGAAGTAAGTAAGTAAGTAAGTAAAAAAAAAAAAAGTATGTTCCAATCTTGAAGAGCTTCCATCAGTTTTCCTATTTTGGCACACAAAGAAAGGGAAAGAAGTGGAAACCCACCATGCAGCTCTAAGAGCAGTGTTTGTTGATGAAAAGATATGAGAGATTTGTGAAAATGTAACCAAACAACTCCCAGAGCAATGCTGATTACTGAAGGAAGAGCTTCCCCCATCTGTGAGCTACCCTGGGTCCAAGGCTTGTGAAGAAGCTACTGAGAGTTCTGGGAGGGAAGGCAGTTGGGTAAGACCTTCCTCATCCCTTCTCTGCTCCTGACTTTGCAAAGTGTATGAAAAGAAAATCCCTTTTGGAACGATATCCCAGTGGTTCGCCACCATTCAAACTGACAAAAATCAAGTTTATGATCATCTTATTTTCTTTGGTAAGTGGACGACACTGAAGAAGAAAACTAGCGCTGCTCATGATGCTTTGCACACGCTGCTCTCTGACACCCTCCCCCCACATCCTCTCACTTAGCTGAGTCCCATGCAGTGCCCTCGAGCTATACTCAGTTCTCAGCCCTCCCAGCCCACCGGTCACCTCACTTGTCCTGTGTCCTGTGTCATGCTCTCTTGTTCATCTCCCTCACTAGCACGAATTAGATGACTAACTTGGTGAGCACTCAAAGTTAAAACAGTATCATTCATGTCTGTACCTGGCATTGACAACACTCAAGAATTGTTGATAAACTAAACAATTATCATGGTACTAAGACATATGGAGGTTTTTCTCAAATATCTCCTCTTTTTTTTTTTTTTTAAGATTTTATTTATTTATTTGACAGAGAGATCACAAGTAGGCAGAGAGGCAGGCAGAGAGAGGGGGAAGCAGGCTCCCTGTGGAGCAGAGAACCCGATGCGGGGCTCGATTCCAGGACCCTGGGATCATGACCTGAGGTTTAACCCACTGAGCCACCCAGGTGCCCCTCAAATATCTGCTTTTTTAATCAATTCTTCCTCACTGTGAATACTGCACAGATAACTTGGAAGCGAGGGGAATAATTTTACAACTGACGTTATGTTTTGCTGACTTTCGACATTCCCTTAAAACGCATACACATATATAGACTTCAAAGCCCACACAAAATATAAACTGGAAAAGCCTTCATTCATTGTTGGATCCACCATGGGAGATTTCTAGAAAATATTACATATGATATATACAAAATATTTTTCTAGATACACCCCAGAACACTTTCAGTTCATTGTAATTATAGAACTAAACTTGCTAGTTGAAAAGACCACCACATTTTGTTAAGTGAATAATGATTCTACAAGAGCTTGTGGGGACAGAATGAGTTCTTTTCCTGCAGAACAATGTGGCATGCTCCAAAAATATCTCTGCAAAGCTACTGGAATTGTACCACGAAATTCTTGGACACCAAATTCTTAAAGCCCAAGTTCAAGTTGTAGAGGAAACAAAATCACAATGACCCTCAGCTCATCAATTCTCCTAATTTCATTCATCCTTCTTGACCTCGTCCATAGATGGTTTGAATTCAGGGGGTAAGAAGACCCGTTAGCCTACATCTAGGAAATAAACACCCTGGAACTTTCCACAGGCTTCATGTACTGAGACATAGCAGCACACTTTTTTATAACTCTGAGCAAAATTATATTTCCATTGTTTTGACTATCTTTAGTATTGCATTTATTGCTTGGCTATCATCTGTTCTTTTTCCATAAAAACAGTGATATATTGTGTCCTAGGACTATTCCCTATTGTTTCTTCTATTCTTAGGTTATACAACACCATTGAGTCATTCAACTTTCAAAACAGGGCCACAGGATTGTAGTGACAACTAATAATAAACTACTAACCTGAGGTCCCACCATCAGACTCCTTCAAACGCAAAATACCTGTGGTGCTATTCTAATGATGGTGATACCCAATCCATTGTGAAAAAATGGAGGCAATTAGAGTTGGTGATATAGCCTTGAGACAGATGAATAAGTAAGTATATCAGGCCCTAGTATGAACAATAACTTTTACCTCCATGCTCAGAATTCCCAATAGAACCACAAAGGTTCCTTTTAGGACCATTCATTCTATCCTCTCTTTCAATATTAGGATCCTAGGGGGCAGTGCTCCTGAACTTTAATCCCTCCAGTGATATGGAACACACATCGTCTTGAGGCAGCCCCATTCCAGGTCAGGCAACCCATCCCATTGGATGTTGGCTCTGGCTCAGTCCCTCCAGAATCTGCTCTTAGCTTTGCAAAGCAGGAGTCTGGAAGTAGTCCCTATATTTCCAGAGTGCATCACCCCTCCTTCTCCCTAGGTCATCCTGCTATAGACGCTTGTCTTCTTATCTGGTCCTTCAACCTTTCAACCTGCTGTACCGTCTATGAAACTGAAGTCATTGCCTGGCTTAACTGCCCACCAGGGCACAGATTCTCACTTATGGGTGGCACAATGACAAAATTCTCGTCATTCAAGAACATCAGTTTCCTTCCAACTCTTCAAAGTTGCTCTTTCTGTTCCTCTGGCTAACTTTGATTGGATCTCTCTCTTTTTGGAGTTCAGCGGATTGATTTTTCCTTTGCTACATTCCAGGTTGAGCAACCCCCTCAGCTGGAAGGGAAAAGTAAGTAACAAGTTTCTCTACCACTACACATGAGTG